GTACGTGGCTGGCACCTTAGCCGGTTGAGCTATAGGCGCCGAGCCTTAAAAACTGATTCTGCCAAAGAAATCTATGTTGACGGGGTAAGACATGGGAAACACTGCAATTATCTGTGCTTGCTGCCAGAATGAAGCAGCCTTGCTTTAACCATAATACTTTTCTTTAATCCCATTAGAATTTTAACTTGACTACCACTAGAGCCAAGATACAATGTGCAAGCATGGGTGGAAATCACAAAATCAAAGTTAATGTCAGCTGTCACTTTTAACTGAGAATCAACTTCTAATGTTACTCCTCTTGTTAAATTCTTCAGTTGGTCCCATTATCTACAAATATAATCCAAACTCCTTAGCAGGATTCAAACTTCATTTTTTAACACACTTTTGTCCTTATCCTCAAACTTTACAGTCCATTTCTTGCCCCAAACCATGCTTCTCTGCCTGGAAAATCCTTTTCATTCCTCTTTGCTTGGTAAAATCCTACCCATTTTTAAAAACGTGCTTGGTTTTCTCTCCTACAAGAAGACTGCTTTGACATTCACCCTCCTGTAAACAAACTCTTGGAGAACCCTGTGCTTATCTGTCACTGCACTCACATATGACACTGCCATTTCATTTTACTGGCTTCTATCTCCACTAAATCCTGAGAACAAGCACCAAATTCTGTGATTTCTATATTTTCTAGTGCCTAAGTCAGAGGCCTGACACATAGTAAATACACAATAAATGCATAGTAAATATAGCTATCTATCTATAAATCTCATTTTCTTGCAATGGGAAAATATCCACTCTCTTTAAAACCTTTTATAAAATAGAACAGCTATCTTCCCCTTTGACCACATGTACAGGCAGAATGATTGTGAAAAAGTATACCATCTAGGTCACATCCTTGGTAACATTTTAGGAATTTGGATTATACTTCTTATGACATCAGAAAGGAGGCCAACATTTGTAGAGAACCTATGTGCCTACCACTATGTACTGACTTTTTGCTACATTCATATTACTTTATTCTTGACAACCATGGTAATTCATTTTAGCTCTATTTTGATGAAGAACCTGAGGCTCAGAAACTTGCTGAAGATCATACAGTTACGTTATAAAGCCAAACTAATGGAATGTGCAAGATCAGGACTAGATTTTGGTTGAAAGGTATTTGGCTGAAAGTAAGATTTCCCATAGGGCTGAAAAAATGATGAAGGCAGCAAATAAACTTGTTCATCTCAGACTATGGGTATGTAGTTTTAACAATATAAACGGAAGACCAGACTTGTTCCCATTCAGAATTTAAATAATTGTACGCACTGCTGTCATTCTGTCAAACAATAGACCTATCAGACATTTAGCTTGAAGCTCTGTTTTAAAACAACTTCTCAAATTTATTTAACTCATGGCTCGGCGCCTGTGGCTCAAGCGGCTAAGGCACCAGCCACATACACCTAAGGTGGCGAGTTCGAATCCAGCCTGGACCCACCAAACAACAATAACGGCTGCAACCAAAAAATAGCTGGGCATTGTGGTGGGTGCCTGTGGTCCCAGCTACTTGGGAGGCGGAGGCAGGAGACTC